TTTTGCCTCTTCTCGGTGGTTTTTCCTGTAAGGTATATCTCCAGCATCTCTCCAAGATTTTACTTTAGGAGGCAGCTTTCTGCTTCCTCCCTCTGACCGCCATCTTGGAATCTCCTGAGCTACTACTTTTTTGAGCAGCTAACAGGCCAATGCTACATCTATACAGCGTTAATGTTTGTTTTTTCAAATTAACAAACTGTGGCCTAGGTGACAAATAACACCAAAATGTTGTGTTCCAGAGGTTGGGGTATAGTTTAGTGGCAAAATATTTGCTCTGCATGTAAAAGGCCCTGGTTTTCATCTCCAGCATCACAAAATAAATACTAATACTGATCTGAAATGAAGCAATGGAATAGAGATGTAAAGTGAAGTCTGTAGCAAATCTATACTTCCACAGCCCCTGTTCTGTATACAAACTGCACTGTACTGCCTCACATTTTCCAAAAAACTTATTGTTGATGTCATATAGTCCTCTAGTAACTATGGACAAAAATTAATTTTTGTGATTAACATCTCTTCTATTAATTGTTCTTGGATCATCCTTGGTCTGAAATCTTTAATGAGCACCAGTTTATGCCAGATATTGTCCCCAAGCTTAAAACAGATGGATTCTCAAATGAAGATCTCCCTCAAATTTATCTGAACACAGTAGAGTGGAACCCTTATAATTCTGTTTCCTTCCAGTGTAATGATGTATAAACATAATGTAGTCTTAAGACCATTCCTTTCCACTTTGTTCCTAGAACCCCAAATTAATTTTGTCTTTGACTCAGATGTTTTTTTGTGGCTTGCTTATTTATGTACTTATTTGTTTATTTTTACTAAGGCAGGGTCTCATCCTGGGCTCAGATGTTCTTCCTGCCTCAGTCTCCCAGGTAGCTGGGACTACAGGCATGTACTGCTACATCCAACTGTATGGCTTGCTTTTAGCATTTTCTAAAGTTTGCACCTGATAAGGACGTTTTCCTTTGCCATCTTATAGCCAGGTGTTTCATCTCCAGAGAGAAACCACACTTCAGGGCTTCAGAAAACTGCCTTCTCTTTCCCATGTTCTAAAATGTGATTATTTCCACCTATAAGCTATTGATCAACTTGTTTGTATTTGACTTTTTTTTTTTTAAGTTGTACTGGGGTTTGAACTCAGGGCCTTGAGCTTGCTAGGCAGGCACTACATCACTTGAGCCATGTCCCCAGCCTGTATTCAACTTAACTCTAGATACGCACCTTTTTTCCATAACCCAGGGTGAGAACATTGTAGTTACAGTTGCAGAACAGTTAGTGTTGACAGAATTGGTGTCAGTTATTGGGGTATCAAGTTAAATGGGACACTAGAAGGTAGCACAAGCATAGCTCCCCTCCCCCAATCAAGCATGCAGGTTGGGTACATGTATGCTGTCTGTCCCATCTGACTCCACATCTCTGTTTTCTGCTAGGTCGTGGTAATCATTAGTTCCAGGGTGTTCTGCCATGTTGACGCAAGCTGCTCTAAGGCTTGTTAGGGGGTCCCTGCGCCAAACCTCCTGGGCAGAGTGGGGTCAGAGGGAACTTCGACTGGGCCAACTTGCTCCTTTCACAGCGCTTCAAAAGGACAAGCCACTTTCTGATAAGAGAAGGTTGGTGCCCATTACCTTCTTTACTGCTCTGGGAGCAAGTTCCTTTCTGTCAGTGTCTGTTAAGACCTTAGCTAAGTCTTTGGACTCATTGCAAAGAAGACAAAAAGCTCTACTACCAAAACCAATAGTCTTTCTCACTTTCTCTCTGTGAATTCAAGTCCTCTCCCTACCACCTTCTTTTTTTTGACAGGGTCTTGCTATATAGTCCAGGCTAGCCTTGAACTCTTGATCCTTAGTCGTCCAAGCGCTGGAATTACTGGTGTGTGCCATCACACCCAACTTTCTTATAGTCTTAAGATGACTTGTGAATCTTATTTTAGGATAGTGCTGAGAAAAAGACCCTTGTCTGAATAAAAAATTTTCTAATGGGAATTATTTTCCCTTTTCTGTCTTTCTCTGGGGTTTATTTGCTCATGAGATTAATTTGGTTCTAGTATTGGTGGTATCCATGGGACCTTTTTTGTACTATTCTTAAAGTTGACTTAAGAGCAACACTGAGTTGAGTGGATAACAGGTTTTCATAATCCTAGGCAGAACCTAAGATTGGACATAGCCAATGAAGGTCATAGCTGGATGTGGGGACACCTGCCTATGATCCTAGCTCCTGGGTAGGTAGAGGCAGTAGGATTGCAAGTTGGAGGCCAGACTAGGCAACATAGCAAGACTGTCTCCAAATTTAAAAGGAGCCAAGAATATAGTTAGAAATGTTAATGCACTTTCCTAGCACACATTAGGTTCTGGGTTCAATCCCCAGTACCACCACCACCACCACCCCCAACCCCTTCCCCCCACCAAAAATAAAAAGGAAGGAAAGAAAATGAACACCTGCAAGCATGACATGATCTTTTCCCATGGTTCACTATTACAGAATATTTGACTGTTGTCAGTGGTTTAGATATCCCTTTCTACCCAAATCTGTTTTGTTTCTAGATTCAGATACCATGTTTAGATCATAATGGACCTGGATTGCCCATATTGTTTTGGTTTTTGAGTCTCAGGTAACAAGTATCAAGAGTTAGGATAATGAGCTGGGCACTAGTGGCTTATGCCTATAATCCTAGCTACTTGGGAGGCTGAGATAGGGAGGGTTGCAATTCGAGACCAGCCCCAGCAACTGGTTCATGAAACCCCATCTCCAAAATAACCTGAGCAAAATGGCTGGAGGTGTGACTTAAGCATTAGAGTACCTGCTTTGCAAGTGCTAAAGACCTGAGTTAAAACTACAATCCCATCAAAAAAAAAAGGAAAATGAGAAATTCGACTAGAATTATATATGGATTTGTATAGTTTCCTTCCTAAGTCCAGAGTGTGGAGGGTTAAGATAGTGAGGGATACCTAGAATAGCTCACACTTGAGTGCTACCTAAATGTCAATAGCAGGGTCACTCCTTTACAAAATCTCAGTCCTCACAGCAACTGAGGGGAGGGTGCCTTCTTTGCATTTTCTAGACTAGGAGAAGTTAAGTCATTTGCCCAAGGTCACATTGTTGGCAAGTGTGTCAGAATTCAGCTGCAGGCAGTTTGACTACAAACATGGTGTAATATCCTCTGTATTAACGTGCTTTGTACAGTTCTCTGATGTCAAAGTCAGGTTCTAATGGGTAAGGTGAGACCAGTGCTGACAGCTATTTTCAGAAAGATTGTCCTGAATATCTCTTTGAGCTCTGAAAAACCCAGAACTCACTGCAGCCTCACACACTCGGGGAGGGGCATTAAAGGAGAGTGGTAGACAGAGCTTAGCACTGTTGATCTGGTACTATAGGAACTTCACCTTCAGGGACACCAAGCCACCAAGATTCAGTCTGTGGTGTCAAAGAGCTCCCAAGAAATAGGAAAAACACTATTTTGAACATAAACTAATAAGATTTCTTTGTCCTTGTGCATCTTGGTTTTAGTTGGGCCCTAATGCTAAGCTGAGAAAGCAAAGACTGAAAATATCTTTTGCATCTTTGTTCCAAGCTTATTTTTTCCTTTGTCTCGTTCCTGTATAGAGCTTACTGACAAAGAGCTTGGAACAAAAGCATTTCCCCAGAGTTACTCATATTTTTGAAAGTGGCTTTGGGACAGAAGACAGAGGGCTCTTCAGGCAACTTTCACATTGAATGCTTTATCTTCCCAACAGTGAGCTAAAGAGACGCCTAAAAGCTGAGAAGAAAGTGGCAGAGAAGGAGGCCAAACAGAAAGAGCTCAGTGAGAAACAGCTAAGCCAGGCCACTGTTGCTGCCACCAATCACACCACTGACAATGATGTTGGTGCTGAGGAGGAGAGCCTGGACCCAAATGTGAGTCCCCTGGATCCAGGAAAACTTACGATAAGGCTAATGGCAGATTCCTTAGGACTGGGTAGTAGGAAGGACCAGTGACTAAGAAATAAATGGAAACTGGAACAGGCCCTAGCCCTGGGTCACTTCCAGTAGATGGGGGGAGAATGCCATTCCATTTGGCTAAATACCCAAGCCCTAAGTTTTTTTAGATCAATTCCCATTAGGCAACTGGAAAAGTCCTGTAATCCCACGTGACTAATCTTCCTTGGAACTAGGTGAGCCTTATAGCAGCCCCAGATTAAAGTGTCTCCCTAAAAATGGATTAGGGCTTACTTTGGTTGGCAGGCCAGATCCACCTCTCCACTCCCCCACTTCATTCTTCCCTCCCTAGTTTGTTGGTTTTGGATGGTGTTTTTGTTTTTGGCAGTACTTGGGTTTGAACGCAGGGTCTCATGCTTGCTGCTCGGGCACTCTACCACTTGAGCCACTCCTCCAGCCCTATCCCTCCCTAGTTTTGTACAGAAAATTGTATTGAACTCAGCCATGCCCATTTGTTTACATATATCTAAGGCTGCTTTTCCATTACAACATCAGAGCTGAGAAACTGCATCAGAAACAGTTTGCTGCCTATAGTCCTAGCTACTCAGAAGTCAGAAATCAGGAGGATCGCAGTTCAAAGCCAGCCCAGGCAAATAGTTCTATGAGACCCTATCTCAAAAAAACCCTTCACATAAAAAAGGGCTGGTGGAGTGGCTCAAGGTGTAGGCCCTGAGTTCAAGCTACAGTACTGCAAAGAAAAGAAACAATTTTCTGACCCCTGCACTGTAGAATATTACATGTTCACATGGGCACATGGCCTATCTCACAGAAAAGTTAAATGTGTGGCCAGGGATGGAAGAGTAATGAAGAAGTAACTCCACCATGTAGATTCAGTCAACAAAAGTGATAACCAAGGCCACTTGTTATTATTGTAGGTAGAATCCATTTTCTCTTTCTGTTGAATCTTGCATTTTGGAATTCTGGCCTTTATTTCCAGCTGGGAATCTGGTCACTTTTCATATTTTAAGTGCAAATCTCATTCCATATTCAGCGTATGCTTTCAGGGGTACAGAGGGTTTGGTTAGCGATAACCTCAGTAATTGGGGTCACTCTGAGGCAGAGTACGGAATACAGCCCATCAACTAGATGGGTCACTGGTCTGACCAGGTTCAGTGTGATAAGGGCTATCTTTTGTTGTTAACAGCAATACTACAAGATCCGAAGTCAAGCAGTCCAACAGCTGAAGGTCAGTGGGGAGGATCCATACCCACACAAGTTCCATGTAGACATCTCACTCACTCACTTCATCCAAGAATACAGTCACCTACAGCCTGGAGACCACCTAACTGACATCACCTTAAAAGTGGCAGGTAGGAAGAGATTCCCTGGCAATTCATTGAGCTCTCATAGCAGGCAGACCTCTTCAGTGACACAAAGGAGTATGTGGGTTGGTCTTATCTTTTGTTACTGTTTCATTATAATGTATTTATTACAAGCAGATTACTATTTCATTATAATGTATTTACTATGAGCAGATTATTGATATCTACCTCTTTCATTAGCTATATTGTACAAAGGGTTTTCACTTACAGCATTTCTGTACATGTGTTCAATGTACTTTGAAATGTACTTTGATCATTAATGCCCTCTATTACTCTTTCTTAATCCCTCTCCCATTTTCCCACTTCCACATCCTCCTTTCACCTTTATGTCATGTCGTCAGTCCCCATGCCACGCCTGCCTGTGTCCCCCATCCGATTCCACTTATGAGAGAACACATGTAATGCATCTTTGTGGAACTGGCTTGTTTCACTTAACATGTTTGTCCTGTTCCATCTGTTTTTCTGCAAACAACATAATCTCATTTTTCCTTATGGCTGAGTAAAACTCCATTATGTATAAGTACCATGTTTTCTTTAACCATTCATCCATTGATAGATACCTAGGCTAATTCCATAATTTGGCTACTGTGAATAGTGCTATGATAAATGAGTATGCAAGTGCCTCTATATTAAGTTGACTTTGATTCTTACGAGTATATACCCAGACATGCTATGGCTGGATGATATGGAAGTTCTATTTCTAGTTTTTTGAGGAACATCCATATTGATTTCCTTGGTGGCTAGACTAATTTACATCCCCACCAGCAGTGAATAAGGGTTTCTCTTTTCCCCACATCCATGCCAGCATTTGTTGTTTGGTTTTTTGATTGCCATTCTGATTGGGGTGAGGAAAAATTTCAGTGTACTTTTGATTTGCATTTCCCTGATGGCTAAAGTTGTTAAACATTTTCATGTATTAATTGGCCATTTGTATTTCTTCATTTGAAAAGTATTCAAGGGCTGGCAGAATGGCTCAAGTGGTAGAACACCTGCCTAGCAAGCGTGAGGCCCTGAGTTCAAACCTCCAGTACCGCAAAAAAAAACATAGCTGAAAAGTGAAAAGTATTTGGTTCATTTGCCCATATATTGATTGGATTATTTGTTCTATTAATTTCTGAGTTAAAGAACTCAGATATTCTATATATTAATTGCCTATCTAATAAATATCTGGCAAAGATAGTCTATTCTGTAAGCTGTCTTGTCACCGTGTCGGTTAATTTTACTGTAGAAGCTTTTTAATTTGATGGAATTCCATTTGTTGATTCTTGCTCTTATTTCCTAACTTATTCAGAAAGTAATTGCCTGTGCCTAGATCTTAGAAGTGTTTCTGTTTTTTCTATTAAGTTTTCCTCTAGTAGTTTCAGTTTCATGACTTATATGAAGGACTTAATTCATTTTGAGTTAGGCACCTGGCTACTTCCTGTTTCTCTTAAGTATTTGTTGCACTGAGTCATTCTTCTTTCTCCTTTAGTGCTCATCTCCAAAATGGCCTTTTTACTTTATGTCTATTTTTCATATATAGTCACCTCATTTCTTACTTTTTTTTACTCTTGTGTTCTTTCATGTTGGTCATTTTCTGGGTGTTGCTTTTATGTTGCTTAATTTTTGCATTAAATTAGTTTTTGTGAATATTGAAAGGAGGCTTGGTTTAGTTTTTCAACTTTATGGCACTTTTGTTTTTGTGACTCAGAAATTATAGCAGCTGACTACCATTCTGATTCCCTAGATCTCTTCCCCTTCCCCACTTTTATTGGGCTTTCTCTTTCCTTTGTCTCTGTTTTCCTTGTCCTGGAAAAGAACCTGCCTGTTAAAGTTTAGAAAGTTTCTGTGGAGTAAGTATGTTATTTCACTTGTGTGGAAATGGGTGCATCTTCTCCCAATCTCAGATGGTATTCTCCAATTAACCTGGAGGAAAGTGTCCACATTTTCCAGTGAATACCTTCAGCTGTTTGGGGGTTCTCTAGTTCTCAACCTATCTGATGCCTCTTTCCTCCTCACTGCTTTTTTTTTTTTTTTTTTAAACATATGGAGGTGGCTCTTGGTGGTTTGTTCCATTGCATATATTTGGGGGTTCTTGGTAATACCTTCCAAAGAAAGTAATTTTATCCCTGGGTTTTTGGCTTTGCCTATCTAGGTACACATTTTACTTTTATGTGAGGATTCAGGAAAATCCAAAATCTATGTTGTCACCTGCACTACCCATCATCCAGGAATCCAATAACATCTTTAAAACCCAGATCTTCCCTGCCTTTTTTTTTACTGGGGTTCGAACTCAGGGCCTACACCTTGAGCCACTCCACCAGTCCTTTTTTGTGGAGTTTTTTTCAAGATAGAGTCTCATGAACTATTTTCCTGGGCTGGCTTCGAACCACGATCCTCCTGATCTCTGCCTCCTGAGTAGCTAGGATTATAGGCATGAGCCACCGGCGCCCATTTTCCCTGCCCAGTTTGACTGGATTTAATGACAGTCGTTGAAATGGAGAAAAAAGCAGGCCACAATCCAATTATTTTGGTTTATGTTGCAGAGGGGGCTTCTTTGGCACTAGTATAATGAAATGGCTTCTGGCTCTGTCGATCAGTATTTTTGCTGTCCTTTTTCTAGGTAGGATCCATGCCAAAAGAGCTTCTGGGGGAAAGCTCATCTTCTATGACCTTCGGGGAGAGGGAGTCAAGCTACAAGTCATGGCCAATTCCAGGTACATAGAAATACCCAGTTCCTGGCCCTTCTGTGCTGAACTGGAGCAGCAGGGACAGTTGGGGACAGAGGCTGATGTGGTCTTTAACAGTTACCCTGAATTGGTTGAGTGAAGGCTCAGAGTAAACCTGTAGTAGACACCAGTTTGAACTATTGTACACTGAGTTACATTTCTCTTCACTCAGGAATTATAAATCAGAGGAAGAGTTTATTCGTATCAACAACAAACTGCGTCGAGGAGACATCATTGGTGTTCAGGGGAATCCTGGCAAAACCAAGAAGGGTGAGCTGAGCATCATCCCTTATGAAATCACACTGCTGTCTCCATGCTTGCACATGTTACCTCATCTGCACTTTGGCCTCAAAGACAAGGTAAGCTCACATGTCCTGCTGGCTGTGGCACAGAGATGCATCCCATTTGTTTTATCCTGCCATTAAATTAAACCAGGGATTTCTAACTGCTACTTTTGGTTTAGGAAACAAGGTATCGTCAGAGATACTTGGATTTGATCCTGAATGACTTTGTGAGGCAGAAATTTATCATCCGCTCTAAGATCATCACATATATAAGAAGTTTCTTGGATGAGCTGGGATTCCTAGAGGTGATGGGGAATGGCTTACCTGACGTGATGGACTGCCTTGCTGTGCTTGCGTCTTAATATCCCTTCCCTTCCTTTTCCAAGGCATAGCCTGTCAATATCCTTATTGCCTATGAGAACCACCCCTTTCTTAAAGCTGGTGTCTTTTGTTTCATCTTGTTTATTTGGTCCTCTGATAAGGAGTACAGGAACTGACTTCCAAAATAATGAGCAAGGTATAGCAGCATTCATGTGCTAATGGTGCCATGTTCAATACACTAAACCATTTTGGGGTTTTGCAGCATTAAACAATATTCTTGTATGACAAAGGCTAGTGCATTACTATAACACAAATTCACATAATAAGTAGAAGCAAAACTGAAAGTACTCTCTTGCTTCTTGCAATTAACTTCCCTCCTCAAAACTGAATTTGTGTGTATCCTTCCTTCACCATTTACTACAAATATATACACATACATACGAACATATGGGTGTTGCAGATGGTGTACGCATTGCTAAATGTTTTATGTTTTTTGAGACAAAAGTCTTGCTATATAGCCCAGTTTACCTCAAACTCATAATTCTCCTGCTCCAAGTGCTAGGATTATAGGCGTAGGCTATCACACCTGGCTTACTTATTCTTTCTTGATGCTGCATGATGCTTCCCCTATTGGTAGTTTAGGTTTTCTTCTATAATAAATGTTTCAGTGGACATATTTATGCATATGTGCAAATGTTTTTACAGGATGGGTTTCTGGTAGAATATGTCAAAGAATATAAGCAGATTTGGGTTTTTGTTTCGTTTTGTTTTGTTTTTGGTGGGACTGGGGTTTGAATGCAGGGTCTCGCACTTGCTAGGCAAGCTTTCTACCTCTTGAGCCACTCTGCCAGCTCTTAGATTTATAATAAATATTATGAATTGAACTCAAGAAATACTATATCCATTTAGATTCTCATGTATACTTTGTCAGAATTTATGGTACTGTTTGATATTAATAGAAATAGAGACACCATTCTAGAAAATCAGGTAATCTATTCTTTGTCAAGCACTTGCACATTATTGTTGAAATTACTAAGTTTTACTTTGGGATGTGACAGGCCTAGGCCCCTACATCTAACACATAAGCTTTCTCTAGGGCCTCTGGTTATCTGAGGACTAAGTGTTTCTCCCTGTCTTTTTAGATTGAAACTCCCATGATGAATGTCATCCCAGGGGGAGCTGTGGCCAAGCCTTTCATCACGTACCACAACGAGCTAGACATGAACTTATATATGAGAATTGCTCCAGAACTCTACCATAAGGTAGTCAATAATATCCCACCTGTTTCTTTAAAGAAGCAGAGGCTCAAAAATCATTGGCTAGACAGGTGAAATCAGAAATATGGGGAACATTGACAGCCAGGAGGGCGTTCTAATTTGTTGGTTTCTAAGTGTAACACTTCTAGAATTTCACAGTGATGAAAAACAGTTAGTAGAAACTTTCCAGAGCTGTTAAGACAAGGTTAGCTTCCATGACCATGGACATGTGTTCTTAGATGCTGGTGGTTGGTGGCATTGACCGGGTTTATGAAATTGGACGCCAATTTCGGAATGAAGGCATTGATTTGACTCACAATCCTGAATTCACCACCTGTGAGTTTTACATGGCCTATGCAGACTATCATGATCTCATGGAAATCACAGAGAAGATGATTTCAGGTGAGTCCTGCTTTCTTCATCTTTTACACTTGCCTGGATGGGATAGGGGCTGGTGTGCTGCTCAGAGGAGAGCTTGCTGGGTGCTTTCTTCCTCTTGAAATGGCTAGTTTCTCTCCCAGGAATGGTGAAAAACATTACAGGCAGTTACAAGATTGCCTACCACCCAGATGGCCCAGAGGGCCAAGCCTATGAGATTGATTTCACCCCACCCTTCCGGAGAATCAACATGGTAGAAGAGCTTGAGAAAGCCCTGGGGGTGAAGCTGCCAGAGACTAAACTCTTTGAAACTGAAGGTAAAATGACATATTCCTCTACTATATGGCCTCCACACTGTTCAGCTCTGAATTTGGGTCAGTTCTAAAATAATTTTCCTGTACGTGTGTGTGTGTGTGTGTGTGTACCTTTTTGTTTTGATTTTTTGAGATGGTGTCTCATCATTTAGCCCAGACTGGCCTCAAACTCATGATCCTCCTCACTTAGCCTCCCAACTGCTGGGATTATAGATATGCACCACCACATTCAGCTGTTATATGTATTTTTTACTGGACTAGTTTGATGTCTCCTGTTCTAACTTGTGTATTCATATCACAGAAACTCGCAAGATTCTTGATGACATCTGTGTGGCAAAAGCTGTCGAATGTCCTCCACCTCGGACCACAGCCAGGCTCCTTGATAAGGTAAGAGTCTGTGCTCTTATCATTCATGTTCTCATCAGTGCTTACTGGTCCCCAACTCTCTAGGAAATGGATCCCACTAGAGAGAATTCATTTCTGCAGTTTCACAGGAAAATCATACAGAGGAATAAGAGAATTAAGTACTTTGAATTGTGCTCTCAGTGAATCTCTCAGTGAAAAAGCTGGAAAGTGGGAACGGAGGTCTCCCCCTGGGCTAGGACTGTCAAATACTATTCAGAAGTTATATCTAATACTGCTTTACTTTCCTGTTCTCGTTAAGCTCGTTGGGGAGTTCCTGGAAGTGACATGCATCAATCCTACATTCATCTGTGATCACCCGCAGATAATGAGCCCTTTGGCTAAATGGTAAGATAAAGCACGATATTTCACTCACAGCAACCCCAAAACCTGTTGTAAAGCAACAATTGATTTTCAAGACGCTCTGGGTTAACTGGTCTTCTTGCTCTATGTAGTACTGGCTGGGATAATTCAGGTGGCTTTTTTTTCAATTGAAAATTCTTCCAGGGTACTTTGGTTTACCTCCACATGGCTTTTCCACCTGGGGTCTCGTTGGCAACATAGCCTGGATTTCCTTTCAGCATGGCAGTTGAGTTCCAAGGGAAACATTCCAAAAAAACAAGCTTCAATATGCAAACACATATCAGGGCCCTGCTAATACCCCTTTGACCAAACAAACCAAGTCATGTAGCAACCCAGAGTCCACGTGAGTGGGATATAGAAGAAGGCACAGATGCAGATGTGGTTTGGTGTAACAGTCTGCCTCACTGCTTTAGGAAGATAATAAGATCTTCCTGGTCTCTCTCACCTTCTTCACTGTGGTACCAGATGATTTGGTGCTGAGACAGCATGCAGGCTGCAGGTTGTAGTTAGCCACATTTTGAGTCCATATAATTTTGGGATTCTTACACCATTATTAGGGTCTGTATATTCATCCTTCTCTTTGGTCTCTTAATCCAGGCACCGCTCCAAAGAGGGTCTGACAGAGCGCTTTGAGCTTTTTGTTATGAAGAAGGAAATTTGCAATGCCTACACTGAACTGAACGATCCTGTGCGACAGCGGCAGCTGTTTGAAGAACAGGCCAAGGTAAGGAAAGAGTGAGCAAAGGCACATATTTCATCACTGAGCTTGCTTATGAAAATACCAGCCATAACCCTGTCTGTGTCAGTGTGTACATTCTTGGTGGTTCAACAGAAGTGAAGGAGAAGGCTACAGGCTTTGCTGAAGTAAGTCACATTTCAAATGGAGACATGATTGTCTGTATAGAGAGCATGACACTCATCTTAAAAATATATTTGTCTAACAAGAACATTATTTTTTTTCAGATTGTACATTTTATTGAAGTGACTTGGGGATGAGAGGTAGATATATATATAAAGAAGGGAATATCAACACTGTACTATCATGGCCACTGATGGGTGGTTTTAGAAAGTGAGAGAAAGAGTCTTTGGAGTCATCATATAGTCTATGGAATTACTGGGAAACCCATTCCCAGCAAGTCCTGAGTGTTAGGAGCATCCCTACAATAAAGTATTTGAATCATTCACTTGGACATTGAAATGTTTTAGAAAACATCATCTTCTGGTTCTCTTTCTTCTAGGCCAAAGCTGCTGGTGATGATGAGGCCATGTTCATAGATGAAAACTTCTGTACTGCCTGGAGTATGGGCTGCCCCCGACAGCTGGCTGGGCATGGGCATTGACCGTGGTTGCCATGT